ACGTAGGTGATTTTTATTTCTTTGGATTGAGGGCTTGGGACAATGATCCTGAGATTTTTGTTTTCATAAATTTGTAAGAAAAGAAATGTACGGATTGGTTGATGTTATCAAATGTGAAAAAGTCTATTAATTAAGCTGCCGATAATAAATTAAATAAACAAGAATGCTATAGAAATAAAAAAAAATTAAAGATAAGATTTTCTGATTAACATGTGAAACAAAGTTTTTATGGGTGGATAAACAAGTGAGACAAAACATTATTTGCTGGTTATGCTAATGTACTGGACCTTGCCCACAAAACCAAATTCCAAAGGGCCGATATTTGCTTGCTCGTTTTTTGTACTGGATTTAATAATGTTAAGTTTTCGAAAAGAAAAAAACATAAAAAGCTATCATACTATTACTCACTCCCCAGGTTCATTGAATGAAGCTATGAAATCTTTTTTTTTTTTTTAATAATTACGGTAAACTATTTTCCCAAGTTCCACCAGAAATACAAAAGCGTCGTGGAGGCGTGTACAACGTGATAAAAATTCAGTATGGTCCACCCCCACGAACTTTCACGAAACTTGACGAATTTTCTCAGGACAGTTCATCAACTGCTCTCTTACTATACCAACCAAGCGTTTAATTTCATTTCAATATTAAAAAAAAACACATTATAAAACAAAAGTAGAGTATTGTTCAGTTTGCTGAACCATATCTGAGCGGGACCCACTTTATTTCCAAAAATACACGTGGCGTCCACACAGAGGAATTAAAACAGAGTTCTTCCTCTTTTCAAGCTCTTCTTTTCATTCTAGACGCGTCTTCCTCAGAGAGGGAAAAACAATTAAAACTAAACAAAAAAAGAAAATAAAACAAGTGTGAATCTTTCATTGGGCGTTAGGCAAAGAAAGCGTTTTGAGGCGTCAGGTAAATACAAATTACAAAACGAACGAGAAAGTTGTGTGTGTGGTGAGAGGCAAAATCTTTCTTTCTAGAAGCAAACGACGACAAGTAGAAAGATTCTTCATTCTTCTTGATTCAATGTCGACAAAGATCAGATTTTGATTACTGGGTTTTGCAAAAGTCTGTGTCTTTGAGTTTCCTCTGCTTCTGGGTATTTGTAAAAGAGACGACAGATTTGAGTTTTTTGAGGATGATTCAACGGTTGGTTGTAACTGCTCTTCAGTTAGCAGAGCTTTCAGTGAGCTCCGTCGTTCATATGGTGTATGGGCTTTACATATTCAGCTCAGCCGTCGCCGGAGATCTCACTCAGACGTTGAGCGAGTCAATCTTCAAGTCCAAAACCACCGTTGAAGTCAAACGAATTACAGCGCAAGTCAATGATCTGCCTCCTATTGTTTTAGTCCATGGCATTTTTGGATTTGGGAAAGGAGTAAGCAAAAAAGATTTATTCTCTCTCTTTGATGTTTCTTTTGTTGTCTTTTGGTTGATTGGGTTTTGGTGTATTGGCAGAGGTTAGGTGGGTTATCATACTTTGCTGGAGCCGAGAAGAAGGATGAGAGAGTGTTGGTTCCTGATTTGGGTTCTTTGACGAGTGTACACGATAGGTGAAACAAGACAGTTTCAGTCTTTTTGTTATTTATATGGTTTTAATGTAATCTGTTGATATAAAGGATTTACTTTTTTTTTTTAATTATAGGGCTAGAGAGTTGTTTTATTACTTGAAAGGTGGAAGAGTTGATTATGGTGAAGATCATAGTAAAGCTTGTGGGCATTCTCAGTTTGGTCGTTTCTATGAGAAAGGTTTAGTCTTTGTTGAAGTTTTTTTTAGTAGTTTTAGATTCACACTTTGTGCTGATGAATCTGTTTTTCAGGGGAGTGTCAAGAATGGGATGAAGATCATCCTATTCACTTCGTTGGTCACTCAGCTGGTGCTCAAGTTGTTCGTGTGTTGCAGCAAATGCTCGCTGACAAGGTAATTTGAATAAAAGACGAGCAGGATTTGGTTTTAGTCGTGTTGTTGAAGTTGATTTGTTTTGTGGTGTTTCAGATGTTTGATGGTTACGAGAACACAAATGAGAATTGGGTTTTGAGTTTAACATCCTTATCAGGAGCATTAAACGGGACTACACGAACCTACCTTGATGGAATATCGTGAGTTTTCTTTTTGCTCTACCTTCTTGTGATCTCTTAGCTAACAATTCTTGGAGTTAAGATTCAAAAATGTATATGAAATTGTCAGGCCAGAAGATGGGAAGTCTCTCAAACTAATATCTCTACTTCAGATTTGTAAACTTGGAGTCATAATGTACGACTGGCTCGACATTCCTTGGCTTAAATCATATTACAACTTCGGGTTCGACCATTTCAACATGTCCTGGAAGAAGACAGGCTTACGCGGCCTTGTAGACTGCCTCCTTGGAAACGCAGGACCTTTTGCGTCATCTGGAGATTGGATCCTGCCTGACCTCTCAATCCAAGGATCGATGAAGCTCAATGCTAATCTCAAGACTTTCCCAAACACGTTCTACTTCAGCTACGCGACTAAGCGTACTAGAAAACCACTTGGGATGATGACTGTTCCATCAGGTGTGATGGGGATCCATCCTCTGCTTTTCATCCGTGTGTTGCAGATGAGTCAGTGGAGGTTCCCTCGTGACATCCCTCTGCCTTATAAGGGTTACAGAGATGAAGATTGGCAGGACAATGATGGAGCAATGAACACTATATCCATGACTCACCCAAGAATTCCTGTTGAACATTCTAATCTAATGGTTCATAGTGACTCAGATTGTCTCCCTCTCCAACCAGGCATTTGGTTTGTCTTTTTCCTCCCTGTAGAAACTGTTACGTGTCTCTTGAAGATTAAATGAAGATAAGAGTCTTACCGGGTGTGTTCTTGAATGTATCCCCACAGGTACTACAAGATAGTGGAGGCAGATCATATTCTATTCATTGTGAACCGAGAGAGAGCAGGTGTGGAGTTTGATTTGATCTACGACAGTATCTTTGAGAGGTGCAGGAAACATGTATTCAGGCAGAGTCCTCAGACATTGCCGAATGAAGCTCAACAGCAGCTAGGAGGAGACCAAGAAGATTAGAGAAGGCCAACAAATGTGTATAGATTTTGCTTCATCATCATGATTACTTTCATGGAAGAAATAGATTTCATTGTTAGTTCTGTTTCGTTTCTAAACATCATTGGCCTTTTTTTTATTTTAATTGAGTTGTAGCTGTAATGAAGATTTAAAAGAATAGTAAAAGAAGGTTTACCAAGACGAAAACAAGGTCATCTTAAAGACAAGGCAAAGGGTGAAGAATGAGTAAATGCAAATACTCAAACTAAGTTTTGTCAACTGAGACTAAATAAAACAGCAAGCTTCTCTTCTCTAATACATGATAAAGTCACGTGGTGAGTAGAACAAGCCTTGGATGGCCAGAACAGAAGAAGTGGCCTATATCTTAGACATCTTAATTAATAAAAACACACTGCATCAGAAGAGCTAAGAGTAAATGAAAGACATCTATGAACGACTAGTCATCTTGTTTTTTTGCAGAGTAGTATCACACACTGCTACGGTTTTCAACAGCGGCAAGTCTGGACATGTTTCGATCATATCATTGCTGTTCTAAGTCGCTTTGTTGTTGTCTCGTTTTACCGGTTGCTTGATTTGCACTAGACTTGGATCATAAGAGCATACCATCATTCTACAGTATTTTAAGTCTCTCCCAGCACGTTTTTCTAAGAGCTCCAGCTCTTTTAAGTATCCATCCTCTCCAACATGTAATGTTCAAATGTTTTGGAGTAACCCATAACGACTTTCTTCTCTTGGTCAATGAAGAAACTCACACAATTAACCAGAGCGTACAATCCTGTTTCCGTTTCCACTCTCAAGAATTTGCTCCACGACACCTTTTCAGCCTCAATCTTAGTAGGAATCCATATGTCAAACTCCATACGACCTGCTTCGTTGTGAGTAAGTAAAACCGCAAGCTTCTCTTCTCTAACACATGATAAAGTCACATAGTCATCATAACCAGCATCAAACGGCAGACGCAGAAGAGGACCAAAACTCTCACTTGTGAAATCGGAACAGATTATGTGATCGTCAAGCACGTCTTCTTCCATGCTCCTTTGTGAAGCAGGCCAGTAAGTATTTCCCTTGAGAGACACCCCATGCTGATGACATAGTATAAACTCTATATCTTTACCTCCAGCAAACTTTCTTATTAACTCAGTAGAATCTAAAATTATTGTTGTTTTTGGTGGGTGGGCTTGAAGGAAGGTGAAACCATAAGAATCAACGTGAAGCCCAAACCAACTACAAATGGCACTGGGGTGCTCTCAGCCGCACTTCCAGGAAACGCTAAGCCTCCTAAACCTCTAGCACTTGCTCCACCACCAAATGCTGCCACGAAAATGTCACTTCAAGTATTGCATCTGACACGGATAACACAAGACGCAGGAACGATCCTCTGTCTGATTTATCCCAGCTCAAGGTAAGCAAGCCCTTCCTTTTTTTAATAGCATCTGAATCACAAACAAACTACATTTGTAAATCACTGAATTCTCCATTTTTGGTGTGACTTTCGCTCTGCAGAAGAATCTTCCTTCAACTCAGGGATCAGGACCGACCAAGTCAACAGGAGCTGCATCAGGTTGGGCAGCTTTCTAAATCACACGTGTAAAATCTAAGGTATTGGACTCGTCCGGCTTCATCTTCTTGTGACTAGAGAGCAAGAGACATTAGAGGTAGAGACACTAGACACCAATGGCAAACAACAATCTGATTTTCTTTTTTTGTTTAATATAAATTTATGTTACTGGTAAATTGATGTGTGATTCTTTGGTAAGGCCAACACCCTTGTTGTAATTTTTTTATTTTTCCTTGTTCAAATCATCTTTGTTACATCTGCTTGAGCACGAGAAATTTTTTAGAGAGATTATTGTAAAATATCATTCTTTTTTTTTAACAAGCTTTATTATTATAAAATATCTTTCTACATTATTACATGAAGAAAATATACAAAATACAAAACAACTGTTTGGTCCGAATGATACTCATTGGTTTGACGACGATAAGTGATAATAATGACGTGGATTTCGGAACCAAACCGTTAAACAACTTCGGTCCACCTACTAATCCTACCGACAAACTTTATCCTCACCGCTTGAGACGGCGAAAAAGAAATGGCTGCGAAAGATCCGGCGACGACCAGTGATGATGCCATTAGAGTTAACGGTATGGAGTTTTCTTATGAAGCCGAGGATCCTATATTCTTTGATTTCAACCTCGAGCTCCCAGCTGGATCTAGATGCCTTCTTGTTGGCGCCAATGGATCTGGTATGTTGATCGATTTATAGCAGCTAGAGATCATCGCCTTGTGGTTTTATGTTTATGTTTTCATGCCTCGGTTACTATAAGCTCGATTAGGTTTCTTGCTTGCTTTTGATCATATATGACACCGTGACTAGCTTGAGACATCATTTACCATAAAACACACAGCTTGTGTTCTTGTGGAACAACTATTTGTTCAGGCAAGACAACTCTATTGAAGATTTTGGCTGGAAAGCATATGGTGGGAGGAAAGAACGTTGTACAAGTTCTTAGCCGCTCCGCTTTCCATGATACTCAACTTGTTTGCAGTGGTGACTTGTCTTACCTTGGAGGTTCTTGGAGTAAAACCGTTGGTTCAGCTGTGAGTATCCTCTGTTGCATTTCATAGAAATGAATTAAACAAAGATTACTCAACCTAACATTTATCAGTCTGATCTGAGATTAGTTTACATTCGTGTGATTCTGCTTCATTTTAGGGCGAGGTTCCTCTTCAGGGAGACTTTTCAGCAGAGCATATGATATTTGGAGGTTTATATATTCTCTCTACCCTAGCAATGATATATTCTTGAATTTGGTGTGTTTTCTCTTTGTTCTCCACTATTTTCAGGCTTAGACTCAAGCAGATTATTCGTTTTTGTTGTCAAAGTAGTTGAAGGAATCGATCCGGTGAGAAGAGAGAAACTGATTGATCTTCTTGACATCAATCTTCAGTGGCGTATGCATAAGGTTTCTGATGGGCAGAAACGCCGAGTTCAGATATGCATGGGACTATTAAATCCCTTCAAGGTAAAACGAATATATAATGGTTTCAAAGAGTCAGTTATATTCTCATATGGCTTTGATCAAAAGAGTTCTAATTTTTTTGTCATCTTATCATTTCTGACCTTAATGCTAATCTGATTTTACAGGTGTTGTTACTTGACGAGGTAACTGTTGACCTTGATGTTGTTGCAAGGATGGATTTGCTGGAATTCTTCAAAGAAGAATGTGATCAGGTACGATCAACCATTTTAATGTCATGTTCCTAACTATATACGCTGCTTGCTTTCATGGTTCCATTGGTTAGTAACTGGAACATTACACCTATTGTGCATTAGTAGTAGGTTTGATTATAGTACATGGTCTTTTGCTTGTCTATATCATTGATGAACTCAGAGAGGAGCTACCATTGTATATGCAACTCATATATTCGACGGGCTAGAGACATGGGCTACACATTTGGCCTACATTCAAAACGGTGAGCTGAATCGTTCATCAAAAATGGCAGATATCAACGAGATGAAAACTTCACCCAACCTCCTCTCCGTGGTAGAATCTTGGCTTCGTTCTGAAACCAAACTTGACAAGAAAAGGAAGAAGAAGGAGCATGTGGCAGCATGGAAACCATCTCCGTTTGATAACTCACCTTTTAGGTCATCCAGACACATGGCTTACTACCGATGATTGATAATTACAGATGAGATCACTGATCATATGTATGAGTATTAGTAAGAATAAGGACAGTAGGGACAAGTTCACATTGTGTGTGTATTGTTTAGCTGCTATACACTCTTGAGCTCATTGAAAAATATACAACAAAATATATGTATTGTTTTTTTTGGTATTCAAAAAATATGTAGTGCTCTGCCACAGCTATTAATCCGTCTGCACATCGGACGACATGGTACAAATCTAAATCTATGTTTTCAGAGGTTTTGTTTTGTATTGAACTTGTTATTGTTACCACTTGGTTCTCACCTTAACTGAACTTGATATAAAAGGGCTATGATATATTATTTTAGGGAAAGGAATAATGAACTTGGTGGAATGCACCTGAATAAATATAATAAAGTTCTTGCATGAGAATGAAGATATAATCACAATGCAGCATTGAATTCGGTAACTTGGTGGAACGTAGCTAATTTTATTTGTTTTAAACCAAATCATGATCCGCGCGGTTTACATTTTCTCTTAAACAAATTATATATAAATTTTTTTTTTTGACAAACATAAATATTTTACAGTAGAACCTCTATAAATTAATACTCAATTAAATTAATATACACTAAATATCTTTATAAAATAATATAATTTTATAGTCCCAAATTGAGTTTTTGGTTCGATTAGTATATCGATAAATTAATAACTCTCTAAATTAATAAAAAAATAAAATTTTGGTGTAATCTCAACATTATTAATTTATAGAAGTTTTACTGTATATTGTTTAGTTTTATATAGTTTTAAGTTTGTCTATACTTATTTTATGTGATTAAATAATTTTTCATAAGTGTATTTTAGATATGTGTGGTGGAAACAATAAATTGGTTATCCGAATCCAAACCCGAAAAGATCTGAAATGAACCCGAACTGAAGCTTATAAATATTTGAATGGAGATGAAAATTTTAACCTTAAAACTTGAGATTTAAATAGACTCGAACTGAATTCGGTTGGCTCCGAATGTCCACCCATAGTTTAAAGTTTATTGTACAATGAATATGGACAATAAAAGTAGATTTGGTCAATTTCATACTATTGATTGTATCGATATAAGTATTAATAGATGTAGGCTAACAAATTGTCTGCAAACAATTGACTTAAAGGAAGATATATAAATTGTTTTTTTTTATAATAGAAGTATAGTACATATTTATAGATTAATATGTTGGTTGAATGATATATTGGATACAGAGAAATATTCGAATCGAAAATATTAGATGAGATTTGTAAAAACATAATTATGATTGTTTGTAAAAAAATATTTAAGAAAATATTTTATTAAAGGTTTATTTAAGAATTAAGATAGCCTAAATAATAGAAGATCTAACTTAAAAATCCACATGGAAAAAATTGTAATGTTTTTATTTTAATAATATAGATACATTTGAATCGTGGTTTAGTTTTGATTGTGAATCAGACAAACACTGGATTTGTTTGACTAAACAACCTTGGTCCGAACAAATTAAGCCGTGACTCAAATGTGTGTCTGGTTTGAATCACGGTCTATTTAGAAATGATTTTGAATTGGATAATGGCTTTAACAGAAAAAAGTTTCTCTCCAACAAAGAATTCTTTGATGTAATTATGTATAAATGTGTGTTTTAGAATCAACATTGTATCATTTCACTATAAAGCTTTATTTCGATGTCATCATAATCAAAGATTTATCATAACCAATATACTCTAGTAACTTTCAGAGAAACAACGCCAATTGTTGATCATTCAGTTCCTGAACATTGGGATCGTTCATTACTCTGAAATTGGCCATGGGTTCCATGGGCTGATAACCATGTTGTGATAGAACCTCAGACATGGAAGCCGAAGCATAGCGATATTGTCAAATACTGTAGTGTAATTCAAACAATACTAAAACTATGTAGAGTATATGCCATGTTAACTGAAGATAGAAAATTCAAACAAAATTGTTAATATGTTGGGTTGAAAAGGAGAATTTTACCATTCTCAAGACTTTTATGCACAACCAAAAAATTTCTTTATAACAAAGAAAGATATGAAATATCTGTATGTATTCTTTGATGAAATTATGCATAGTTGTGTGTTTTGGAATCAACATTGTATCTTGACACTATAAAGTTATAATTTGATGTCATCAAAATCGAAGATTTATCTTAACCAAGATATTCTTGTAACGTTCTGACCACTATACATAGCTTCTTGAGCCAAAAAATGTACTTTGATTTTTTTAGCAAAAATTGTGCGTTTTCTAGCAATTTTTTTTTTAAAACAAACGAAAGTGAAATCGATGGTATCTTCAAGGAAACATAGTCAGCACAAGTTAGCTATGGTGATTAACAAGTGATTTTCAAGGATTAATGCATATGGTGATTAACACTTGCAATCTATGGACACAATTTTTCCGAACTATCGCATATGGTGATTAACACTAGAACAACAAGATTTATACACACACAATTCAAACTAAAACAACAAGTTTCATACATACTACGATTAGACACTAGAACAACAAGTTTCATGCATACTACAATTGGTAATGCTCAGTTGTTACCTCGCCGGTTCTGCTCTCCTGCAATGGCTGCTAAGGTCACATTGGTCCACAGCACCAACAATACCAATTGCTCATCATTAAATTCTTGAACACTGGGGTCTATCGCTGACATGGTACACACATGACGCCGAGTTGTATCATCTTCAATTCGTTACACGGGTTCCATTGTGTTGCAAACCTAAAAAACAGAAGGACAAGTTATGTTCAAAATTTTCAGACTAGAAATTTACGTTGGGATCGATGGTATATTCTAATATATATTTGAACGGAGTCATAAAATCTAGAATCTTGTCTATTTTATATAATAAGAAATCACATTTATGAGAAATATATAATAATCTAGACTCAACAAAGAAAATAAACATGAATTCGAAAAAATGTTATCACACAGAAAAGGTTGAGAAATTGGAGTCGGTCTAGCTTTTGACTAGTATCAAATAGTCTTAGAAAAACCATAGATCGTTGAAGCAACGATAACAGATCCACGAGTTTTCATCGCAACAGACACCCAAACAGAGCATATCACTGAAAAACAGTGGAAAAACGGAGATACAAATCATCTAAAGAGAGAAAAGTCACTTATCTTAGCTCTAAGAGCATAGATTAAAAATATTTAATTTTACATGGATCTGTTCTTGTTGGGAAATTGGATCTATGGTTTTTCATCGCATCAGACACCCATGACGTTTTAGATCTTTGTACATAGATTAAAAATATTTAATTTTACATATTCTCTAAACAAAATATCACTAATTACCTAATTAACTACAATTCAACAAATAAATAAGTAAACTGTAGAATATAAAGAATCATATAACTAACATCTGTTTTTAAATGAAACATTTTTATGTGTGTTAATACACTATTTATAGAATAATACTATCTAAATGGTTTTCAAGATATAATTGCCAGACAAGCTGCATCAGAGAACTAAGAGTAAATGAAAGACATCTAGGAACGACTAATCATCTCGATTTTTTTGCATTCCTCCTTTTGCAGAGTATTATTACACACTGCTACGATTTTCAATAATAATGGCAAGTCTGGACATGTTTTGATCAAATAGTTGCTTTTCTAAGTCGCTTTGTTGGTTCCTTTGACCTCCTCCTCCCGCAGCAGGTTGCTTGATTTGCACTAGACTTGGAACATAAGAGCACACCATTGCTCTATAGTAGATTACATCTCTATCTGCACGTTCTATGAGCTCCAGCTTTTCTAAGTATCCATCCTCTCCAACAGTGGCGGATCCAAAAATAAATTTAAGAGGTGTCAAAAATTATAAGGGGTGTCACTCGTGGGATTCAAACTAGGGTTTAGGGGTGTCAAGAGGGGACTTTTTCCAATAGAGCTGTTGATTTTTCATTGTTTTAGTGAACAAAATATTAATTATACGAATTTAAGGGGTGTCACTTGACACCCTATTGGCTCAAGTAGATCCGCCCCTGCATCTCCAACGGTGTTACATGTATTGTAGTAACCCATGGCGACTTTCTTCTCCTCGTCGATGAAGAAACTATCACAATCAACCAGAGAGTAAAATCCCGTAACAGTCTCTACTCTAAAGAACTTGCTCCATGACACCTTTTCGGCCTCAGTCTTAGTAGTAATCCATACCTCAAACTCCATTGGACCTGCTTCGTCGTGCGTAACATGGTCATCGTAACCAACTTCAGACGGGTTAACGCAGAAGGGGACCAAAACTCTCACTTGTAAAATTGAAACAGATTATGTGATCGTCAAACCAGTCTTCTTCAGTCTTCCTTTGTGCAGCAAGCCAGTAAGTATTTCCTTTGATATACACGTTACACTGATAGAAATTTCTTTTCCTTTGGCCAAAATGTTCACGGAAACCCAAATCCTAACATTGACTTTGCAGAATCTTTCGCCGCAGGTGAAATCTTACTAGAGAAAGTAAGGATTTGGGTTTGTTAATCAGCTGCGGCGACGCTAATTCATAGTCCTGGAGAATTTTGAGGAAAGTAACCAAGTCACATATTTCTCAGTTTTACAGATTACAAAAGTACCCAAAAGCCAAGAGATGAACATTCGTATATATTATAAACTAGATAAGGCCCGTGCGTTGCAACGGGTTTTGTTTGATGTTTTAATTTGATAAAGAACATAAAATAATAAATAATTTTATTATAGATTTAGGATCTTTAATATATCTTCCTAACAATAAAATTAGAATAACTTTTTAGAGGAAATCTATACGAACATATATTTTCTCCATATTATTTATATATCCGATTACATTTGTAACAAAATCGTGTTATACAATAATGTTATTTCAAGAAAAATTCATTAAAAATACCCAATCAATTGATAGAAATATACAATGTTCGACAACCAAATTGTTACTAAAAATTGATATAAAGTTATGAATATTACCATATAAATCGTATGGAATCTTTCCGTTGAGCAAAATCTTCATAATTTTGTAAAGAAAAATTTCAGAGGGTGCTTGAGTTAATTGTTTCTCCACACATGCACTTGTTGTTCTTTTGGTTAATCTTATCTGAAATTTATGATGTGAGAGTTCATAGTTTTTATTGCAATTTTACAAATTAAAATTGCAGATTTCAATAAGGATTCCTTCACCTAACCCATCTCCCAACTTTTCAATAAGATAATAATGCACATAACTTTGAATAGTATTTTTTCCTACAGAATAAACAAATTATTTT